GGGGGGGTTGCAATGTTCACTCTTGATGATTGCTTTGATTTGAATTTTATTTATCGATAAATTGGTTGGCCCCGACTGGCAGGGTTGAAGCCCACCTCATAAATGATCTAAATGGGGCTCTCGTGGTTTAGAAGTAAGGTGTTTAACTCTCAGTCAACAGGTCCCTGGCTCAAAACCTGCCAAGGAAGAAAAAATGCACCTCTCTATAGTGTGTTTTTCTCTGTACTCCTTTCTTGTTCTCCAGACCTGTTCTATCATCTGCTTTCTCATCTCCACTCTCTTCCTTCCTTCCCCTCCCACCCAACCCTCCAACCTCTCTTTTTCCCTCTCCCTTATTCCTGACTCTCTGTTCTGCTACTTTTGACTTCTCATTGTCTTTCAGCCATACCCCAGATCTTAGGGTAGGTAAGATCATACACGTATCCTTCTTATGTAAGGGCTAAAAATCTTGGAGGTCCCATGTGCATATTGCGCATTTTTATTTTAAGATCCCTTGGTGGTCCTTTAATTGATAAGAGTTGGCTTCTGCCAGAGATGATTCCTGCTAAAACAGAAATACTCTGATCAGTGTACAAAAAAATGTAGCGTACCTTTGAAATGTGAACATGATGGCTGCCTGGAGGTAAAGGGCCCTATAAAGATGGGGAAAAAAACAATCGTGTAAAAAAAACATCAGATCCGCTGCAGGCTGAAGAACCAACAGTTGACACCCCTAAGATCTTATAAAGGAAAGGAAAGAAAAAGAAGACAAAAAGAAAATGGGTGGTTGGTGGGTGCTAGGGTGTGGTTTGCTCCTTCTTTCCTATCCAACATATGTCATCCTTATCACCCCTCCATCTTTTTTGTGTTTGTTACTTTCTTGTAACGCCTCTAATTTTGACGCTTATTTGACCTATTGTGTTGCAAGTGCCGTAAAACTCTTACTAGGGGGCTCTCGGGGCCTTGATTAAAGGTGTTCACCTCTCATTCAATAGGTCTCGGGTTTGAATTTGGATAGGGATGGAAATTTTCTTCTCTAAAATTTTCTCCTTTTACATCGTTTACCACGTGCTCTCTAACAATGTTCTGTCTTCTGCTTTCGCCTCCACTTTCTGCCCCCACCCTTTCACCTTCTTTGCCCCTTCCTCTGTGCTCCTGACTCTTTTGGAAGCCTTTCTACTGCTTCTCATTGGCTCCTTCTTACTTCTGTCTCTCAGCCACACCCCTGATCTTATGGTAGGAAAGATCTACTCCTAGCCTTCTCGGACAAAGGCGACAAATCTCGGAGGTCCCATGTGCAAGTTGCGCACGTTAAAGATCCCTTGGTAGTCTGAAATTGATAAGAGTAGGCTTCAGCTGTCATCCGAGCAAAATTCAAAATTTCCTACCCACTGAAAATGTTTAATGTGTCCCGCATGCTCATATTACCTTATGCAGTTGCGAGGGTCGTAAAACACTTACCAAAAGAAAGAACAAAAAAAAACCCAACCCTTACTAAAAACTAAACGAAAAAAGAAATGATCTATATATATTGTGTTGATGGGGGTGTAAAAATAATTATACTTTTTTTTAAAATGTTTTTTTTTTTTCAACAGGAGATTTCCGAGACTGACCAGCAAGGAGGACAGGTCAGCAGGTTGCTGGTTCTGTCTGACCGCGACCCGCTTTTGCCGCGCGTGGTGTGTGTAGCGCTGCAGGAGCTGAGGAGGCAGTGCAGGATGCAGCACTCGTGGGCACGCACAATACACACCTACCAGGTGGGCCAGACCTTCGTGTGTTGTGGAAATGCGCTGCATAAATGCTATTAAATATTATTTTTATTCATTATTGTTGTTATTATTATATCATCATCATTATTATTATCATCATCATTATTATTATTATTATTATTATTATTATTATTATTATTATCATCATCATCATTATTATTTTCATCATTATTATTATTATCATTATTATTATTATTATTATCATCATTATTATTATTATTATTATTATTATTATCTAGTTCTGCTGGCCTCTGCTGTACAGCAGTTAGGCTCTTTGCCATTGCACTAAAAAAAACTTGAGTTTTCTTCCCAGGCGAGAAAGTTTTTTTTTTTTTAAAGTGAATATCTCTGTGTTTTTGTTGAGAGGTTGTGTATTTCTGTGTTTTTGCTGAGTCGTTATCAAGATATTCAAAGAATTGCATTCGAAAAGGTGAAACTCAAAAGTTTTAACATCAAATTTCTCAAAACTAGGTACTGAGCAGATAGAATTTTGTAATTCTGGGGTAGCAATTTGTCAGTGTATAAATTATCCGTGCTGTACTGTGCTCTTTTTTTTTCAGCTACTGGTCTAAATTTTTGCATATGTGAGGCAGTGTGGTGAAATCAGGTGCTCGTCAAAATAATCAGAGTGAAGAAACTGGCCTTTTTCTACCAGTTTGGCAATTTTGATTGAATTTTTCTTTTTTTGACTTAACACCATTGTTGTCCAATTAAGAACACATTTCTGGATGGATTTTACTGAAAAACATTGATTAAAGGCACAAAAAGTAAGTTTTCAGTTTCCACGGACTATCACGCTATGAAAATAACCAAATTTTGGCAGCCATTTTCTCTCTAATTCTACCTTTGAAACAAGGTTACTCCACCTTCTTCAATCTCAAATATCTTGATTTCTATTTAAGATAGATGGGCATTTTAAAAAAACAACTGATAGCAAGATAACTGAACAAGCTTTAAGATGATACCAATAACTCCACATGTCCAAAAATTTAACGAGCGCCTGATTCCATCTTGTCGGTACATATACATTGTTAAGAAACTGGGAGCAGCGTATGCCTCTCAAACCAAACCTGATGAAGTTTTTGTGTAGTTTTCAAATGTCTTTTGTCAGGTTGATATTGTTCCTTGTTTTGTTTTTTTAGGCCAATATTTCAGGTTTGCGGAAGACTGGTTACTTGGATCCATGTCATTGCACATGCCCTTCCTGTGTTTAATGAGTCCTGATCTCTCACTGCCCCCCTCCCCTCCCCCCTCCCCCAATCCTTTCTCTCCTCTCCTCCACACTCCTGTATCCCCTCACTCCTTCCCCTTCATCTGTCCTTCCTTCCCCAACCCTCCTTTTCCTCTCTTTTTCTTCCTTCCCTTCTCTTTCCCTTTCTCTACCCCATTCCGCCGCTCCCTTTTCTTATTTCCCCATCCCCCTGCTTTTCCTCCCTTCCTTTTTCTCCCCTTCTCTCCCCTCCCCTTTGTCCCCCTGGTCTTCCCCCCTTTCATAAATTTCCCATCCCCTTCCCTTCTCCTGCCCTCACCCTCCCCTCCCTTCCCTCCCCTTC